TACGAGTGAGTGCTTTGGATCGAGCTTCCCTGCCCGCGGCTTGTAAACAAACAGAAATAAACCATGCTATTGCATTCTGTACCTAAGGTCTGTGGTGGAATCTTTGGGGTAACAATCTGGGCATAACAGCAGCACCCCTCCATGGCCTCTGCATCAGCTGCTGCCTCCAGGTTCCTGTTTCATGTGAGTTCCTGCCCTCACTGCTTTTGATGATGGACTGTTATAGAAAATTGTGAGCAAGTTGCTTTGGTCATAGTGTTTCATCATAGCAATAGTACCCTAACTCAGACACCATGTGTCCCGCATGCCATTTGGATGGTCTCATGTAATCTTATGACATCACCTGTTTCCAATAGTAAAACTGATTCTTGAAGGTTAAGCAGCTTGCTCTGATGAATCATGGAGCGTGGGTTTAAATCTCTCATTACCCATATAATCATAGTTCAAAGAGCATACATACAAAAAAAACATAAAAAAACCAAAACAACAACAACAACAACAATAAAACCACTTCCCTAAATAATGATACTATTGTCTTGCTCCATAGTTTCTTTCTCCAGGAATGGGAGTTTGGGGAGGAGGGTATTTCAAGAAACTCACAATGCCCCTCCTCAAGGTCCTATAAAAAGTAAGAAACTGCTGTGAGAGGGGAAGCATTCAGTAGGCCCCCAGGGTGGAGCTTTCCCAAGGCTTCGCCCTTGCTGGGTGAAGGCTTTGTGTTGGAGCATTCTCAAGTCACCTTCATCAACTCAATGGTTCACCAAACTGATCATGAATGCAATCTCTCCTTGGTTACTCTATCTGGGGTGAATAAAAATCGGATCTCCAGGATACGTATCACAACACAGTCAGAGAGTTTTCCAGCAGGGTCATTCCTTCTGGAAGCTATCATTTAAAGAGAGCTTCCAAAACCCTTCGGGCATAGAGGAGAAGGAAGCTGCATGAGCTTAGGCTGCTGCACATCCGGATGACCTCTGTGGCCCACCTCTGATTCTCCAAGCTCCCTTCTCTACCATTAAATATGCCCCGGTTTCTGCATTATTAGCTGTGGTGGAATAGAAGAGACTCTCCCATAAAGTATTTATCTTCCCACAGGTAAGAGAGAGCAGGAAACACTGGTTCTTCCTACTTGGAAAAGATTTCTTTTTTTTCTACTCAAAGCAGCTGTCTTGAAATATTCTCCGAGTAGAGTGAGTCAGGGCGCTCATCTAGCTTGTGGCTGTCGCCAGTTGGCATGACTACATAAAGGAATATGACCTTTATGTGTGCTGATTTCTTGAGTAGACACTGTAAAGACTTAAAGTCACCATAAACAATGGATTTCTCACAAAAACTGTGAGCATTTTAATTTCTCATTATTTTATAGTCATCTAAATTGGCTGGAGACCACATTCCCTCTTGGGATGATGCACATGATGGACTTGAAATCATTTTAAAATGAGGAACAAGGGGCATTCTCCAGGGAGATAATCCTATCCTCTCTCTTTGACACTCTAACCATTTTCTCTAAATTAAAAGCTCCGAGTTTATTAGCAATCATTTCCTTGCCTTGTGTAGAGAAATCAAGCATTTCATGTTTCCTTGTGTGCTAATTAAAAGGGCTTCATTTAAATGGTGCAGCGGGTCCCAATACCAGTGATAACTAATTAGGATCATAAAATGTTGAGCCTGAAGGGAATTTACTTAATCAATTCCTTTCATCTTTTAGGAGAGGAAACAAGCTGGCATGGTGACTTGCCACACTTCTGGGACCAGAGCCATAGCTTCCCACTCCACTCGGTTCACAATTGTTCAGCATGAAGAAAATCAGTACTTGCGGGTGGTTGGAGTATGCTGCAGACCACTACCATGGTAACAGGATTAGACTTCAGTTGTATGTATGCTAAGCCTATACAAGGAAAGTAAAATAGCCCTCTAGCCTAAAGATAAGAGCAAGGATGCTTTGGAGGCTGGCAGAGGAGCCCTATGGTTCTGGTTGGGCTCCCAGGTATAGTGGTGTCTGCTGAAATCTTATCATGAACCACACATGATGCTCAGTACTTAATCATGAGTCTGCAAAGCCATATTATAAGCCTTATAGGATCTTCAGTTTATACAAAGAGACAAATAGGACTTGTGAGTGACTTTTCCAAGGTCTTACACCAATGCCAGTTACTAGTAACCCAGCTCGCATTTGTAGTTGGCCTTTCCAGATACCAAACTATGTCCTTAGAGATGACAAGTGAATAGAAGTCCTTCTGGAAGACATTGGTGACTGTTAAGGCCTCTTTGGGAGGCTGTTTGAGCTTTTAGACGGACTTAGATACAAGCTTGCCAAGATATTCTATATACCTACAGAGCCTGAACTGAAGTGATCTCTCAGCTGTGATAGACCTGATCATAAATTCTACCTCCAGTGCTTTGGGCTAATATCGACTTACATTCTGAATGCAACATCTAGAAATGTCTTAGGGTTCTGTTGCTGTGAAGAGACACCATGACCATGGCAACTCTTGTAAAAGGAAACATTTAATTGGGGGCTGGCTTACAGTTCAGAGGTTCAGTCCGTTATCATCACAGCAGGAAGCATGGTAGAGTGCAGGCAGAAACAGTGCTGGAGAGGGGCTGGGAGTGAAAAAAGAGTGAACCACGGGGCCTAGGCTGAGCTTCTGAAACCTCAAAGCCCACCCCCACAGTGACACACTTCCTCCAACAAGGCCACACTTCCTAAGAGCGCCACTCCCTTTGGGGGCCATTTTCATTCAAACCACCACAGAAAGCTAAAGCTGTGAGGACCGCAGCTTTGGTGTGATCTTAAGAAGGAAGAAACAAAGGTCTGGTTTGTGTTTGTGTTACACTCTGCTGTAAATGGTGGGAAATCAGAGTGGTAAAAACAGCAGGTTTGCACAGGACCTAGAAATTCTTTTTTGGCTGGATCCCTGTTGGGCTGCTTATTGTCTTGATGACCAGTTCTCGCTTGGTCAGATAACACTGATAAAGTGCACATTTGTTGGGGAGAGAGGATACAATAGAATTGTATGTGGATGAGTACAGAGAGGCCACGGGTAGAATCCCACCTGCCCAGGAAGCCAGTTAGATGTCTGCCGCTTGTCTCAAGGCTTACAAATGTATGGTTTGGATATCAAGTATTTCCCACTATATCCTACTCCAACCCCCACAAGACTCATGTGTTGAAGGCTTGGTCCCCGCTGGTTGCGCTATTGACATTGGATCATAAGGGATTGATCCGTTGGTCTGTTCATAGCTGAATGGGCTCTTAGAAAGTAGGCCTTGTTGAAGGAAGTAGGTCAGTGGGAGTATCTTTGAAGATCTATTTTATCCTCAGACTTCTTCTCTTGTGCTTTCTGCTCCCTGGCTTCCAGGAAGGGAGCTGCTCTCTCTACCTTGCCCTTCCACCATTGTGTGTCTGCTTCACCTCAGGCATAAAATCAGTAGAACCAACTGGTCATGGATGGAAACTTCAGAAGTCATGAGCCAAGTCGGCCTTCCCTCCTTTAAGCTATCACCGTGACAGAAAGGCCACTGATACACATACAGAACACAAACTAAAACCACCCACATATATTGTGTTTGGGCTCAAGTTGACAGGTTGCCCTTGGTTACAAGTCTGGAGCCTAAGTCCAGGTAGATTCAGTTCAAAGGGGACTTGAATGGTTTATGCAAAAACAACCTGGAAAGGATTAAGGTTCAACCAGTTTCAGGAATGAATGGAGATGGTAGACCCCAATCCCAGGTCAATTCTTTTCTATGTCATCTTTTTGTGCACTAGCTTATTTGAAAAGTCTGAGATCAAAGCGATCCATAATTTCTCTACCTCCCTCTGGAGAGCTGCAGGCCCTCTTCTTGTATGCTTTCAGTGGAAGTCTTCAGATTAGAAATGACAGGCCCTGCTCTGGTCATGAGTCCCCCACCCCCAGCCCATCACCTGACAGAGAGGGGGGGTCTTAGAAGTGGATGCCAACTCCTATTTCCCACGCGTGCTGGGGCAGGCAGTAGAATGCAGTTCTCCTAAAGGAAGGCGAGGTTCCCAGGATCATGGAAGGCTGCTGGGTAGACAAAACATATTTTCTTAGAAGTGGAACAGTGGCCTCACAGATTTTCTGCTGCAGAAAAGGTCAAAATGTGACTTTACGCTTAAAAAGCACTTTATTTCAGAACTAAAAAAGGGAACGAGAGGGAAATGAAGTCATCGTTGGTTTTCCTAGGAACAAAGCAGGACTAACATTGACTGTCCCGGCAGCCAGAGAACTGGCATTTTGACAACTCCCAGCGTTGCAAAAGTAGCCCAGGGAAGCTGGTTCTGGAGAGCCCTGAAATCTTCCAGTCAAACCATCTCCCAGGGGCGCTGCTTGTATGGGGGCTTCTCCTCTCTGTGGCTCCCAAGGTAGGAAACGATAGCGGCCACATATCAAATCTTAGACCTTAATTACTCTGACAGATAGTTGCTCCAAAATTTCAGATTTAACTTAGGGAACCAAGCTTAAAAACAAAAACAAAAACAAAACTAAGGCTCACATTTGCAAAAGAAATGGCTATGCTACCTTCTCTTCTGCCATTTCCGCTTGCTCATCCAAAACATACTCCCAAACATCTATCTACACAGACGGCCGGCGTTAGGATAGGGCCGAGGGAAACGAGCCCCTTGTCCTTCTGAGATGTGCTGTGGTCAGAGGAACCGGTTGTTTCAAGGCCAGCTTAGGTCCTGCCCCACTATTCCCCCCACCCCCAGCCCCACCCCAGCCTGTGGCCCAGAGCTCTCTCTCTCTCCACTTAGGTACACCGAGCTCCAGATCTGCAAGCAGGGGAGGGGGCCACCGACCCCCTGACCCCTCTGTCGCCTGCATGGCGACGGAGCCCATACTCTAGCCCCCTCTGATTTCACCGTAGCGGCCGACCCGCGCTGACCCCGCGCGACAGCTGCAGGTAGCACAAGTGCCCCGCCCCGTCGGGCCCCGCGGCCGGGGACGCCGCCCCTCGCCAGGCTCCCGGGGCGCGCGGCGGGCAGCGGCCCCGCGCAGGTAGAGCTCGACGCGGCCCGGCGACGGCGCGGCGGGATGGGGCGGCCCGGGGTCCGCCGCCTCGTGCTGCTCGCCGCCTGCCTGGAGCTCTGCGGGCCGCGCGGGGCGCTCGGAGGTACGCGCCCCCAACTTCCCTTCCCCGTCCCGGGCGGGCCAGGCCAAGCGGCGCTGCGCGGAGCGGGTGGGCGGCCGGGTTGGGGCGCGATCCCCCCTTTCCCCGAGGAGGAGGCTGGGCGATCCGGGCGAGCGGTTGCCCCCCACCCCCACCCCCCGATCCCGGGTGCGCTCAGGCCCCGCGTCCCCGAGCTGGGCGGAGGGGAGGACGCAGAGAGGCCCTGCACACAGGCTTCGCCGCCGCGGCCGGCCGACCACTTCCAACTCCCAGCCCGGGCCTGCTCCCCATCTCCTCGCCGAGAACTCGGGACTCGGAGTTTTTAAGATCGGCCATCTGACCAGCAGAATGGACTCCTCAGGTGGCCCTGGCTAGTCCTTTTGAGTTTGGCCCGGGAGCTGTTTGGTCTCCTGTGACCTGCGAGGCGTTGGGGGACACTTCAGTTAAAGAGGATATTCTTTGACTCCCCCAGCTCCTTGTCCTTTACTTCTCTGAGCCCAAATACATAATTTTTTTAAAAAATTTTTCCTTGGCGTTTTGCCTACCTTCCAGATTACTTAGCACGTGGTTCTCTAACCTTTTACATGACTGAGCCCTAGTTCCTGGGCCTTCCCACCCTCAATTCTACAAAAGACTTCCAGAAATTCTAAATCACAGGCGTTGCATGTCTGTAGTATTTTCTGTAAGATTCTGAAGACTTAAATTCATTTTCAGGGTGGCCAGAGAGCATTGCTGCGCGCCATCATTGCGCGATGATGTCGTTTTAGAGTAATGCTCCAGGGGCCATCTAGGTCCTGGAAGACACCTCACCCTTCTCCTTGTTCCGGTGGTGAGGAGGCTGTCTGGAAAAACTGTACACCTTCATCCTCTTCCTTATTTCCTAGCTCCTCATCTCCAGGCTGCCCTGCCCGGTCTGGTTCCAAGGGTGGGTGTGGCCAAGGGTTGGAGGCCTGGAATTGCAGTAACTGTGACTGAAGGGGCAGGTGTGACTCCAAAGGGCAGTGAATGGCCTTTGACAGACCCAGAGGGTATCAGACAGGGAGCCAGGAATAGTTGGGAGCAAAGAGAAGTTCCTGGCTTAGCAGTCGGCTAGGCTTGGGCTTCAAACCCAAGGGCTATCTTCCCAGTTACTCCGCACAGTTACTCCTCTGGCTCTCCATTTTTTGCCTCTGTAAACTTGCTATGGTAATAACGTCTTCGGAGAGGCTTAACCCAAACAACTGTTTGCAGACTGGGGATGCTCAATAAACACTCATTTCCAGCCTTCCCTAGTCATTATTCCCCATTCCGCCTCTTCAATGCAATTAGTGTGGCTAGGAGACAGGAGGTTGTATATGCCTTTAGACTAGGCGTGTGGCTTCTTTGTTCACAGAATTCCACAGCAGGCCCTCATACATGTATGTTCTTCATCCATGGCCCGGACAGCATGACAAATATTGTAGGCCAAAAATCTTCTTTGTGATGCTTGGAAGAATATTTTATTATTCTTCTTTCATTTTATGTGTACGGGTTGTAGGGAGAAGAGGAAACCCTAAGCTCTACCTTGTCAAAGGGTCCAGATCCTCAGATTCATACAGAAATGGCAAAGCCTTCCTCTTGTCCCTTTGGTGGGGCCAAGAGGGAAATGGAAAAGCCTTCCTCTGGTCCATGTATGGATGTTGATAGTATGTGTAGAAATTGTCCACCACAGCCCCACCCCACCCTTCAATTTTAGCCAAAGACGTCTCCCCTACAGAGTCTGCTCCTGAGATTAGCTGAACCTGTCTCCTTGATCCATCTGGGTACCACAAACCCTGCCTCCTTGTTTATCTGTGTGTAGTAACTCTGCCTCCCGCTTCTGCTATATGCAATAACTGTGTCTCTCTGTTCAACTCTATAATAAATATGCTGAGCTTCTGGGTCAGACGATCTGACCCCAGTGTTCTGTTTGTGTGTTGTCTGTCTTCTCTTCACTCCACCCCTCCCACACACCCCCCCCCCCCCCCGCCCCAGTCAGATCCCAGTTCTTTTTTTTTTTTTTTTTTTTTTTTCGGTTTTTTGAGACAGGGTTTCTCTATGTAGTTTTGTGCCTTTCCTGGAACTCACTCTGTAGACCAGGCTGGCTCGAACTCACAGAGATCCGCCTGCCTCTGCCTCCCGAGTGCCAGGATTAAAGGCGTGCGCCACCACCGTCCGGCTTAGATCCCAGTTCTTATAGTTGTGCATGGATGTGTCCATGGGTGTTTTACCTGCATATATGTCTGTTTCCCACACATGTGCCTGGTATTGGAGGAGACCAGAAGAGGGCATCAGATACCCTGGAACTGGTTGTGAGCTACCATGTGGTTTCTGGGAATTGAACCCAGGTCTACTAGAAGGTTAGCCCATGCTTGTAACCACTGAGCCATCCCTCCAGTCCTGAGAATATTTTCCTGAGTTGCCACATGTACAATTTGACTTCATTTCCCCCTTTGTCTCCTTGTGTAATTCAGGGTATTTCCTTGAGCAATTGAATTGCCCACGGTGAGCTGTTCGTAGTGCTTGAAGGGTACAGGGTGCTGGATAGGTCAGCTTGGCAAGTTACCACAGCAGAAGCCACCTCTGTCTGGCAATAGATATTGTCTAGTAAAATTACTTTTAGTGCACGTGCCTCGTGCATTCTGTTTTCAAATCATACTATTGTCATCGGGCACTTTCTGAAGGTGATAGGATGTTGGTGGAAGTAATTAAGGCCACTCCACGTAGTTAAAAGGGAGGTTTATTTTGTGGGGTAATTCACAAGTGAAGGGATAGGTAACAGGGCCCAGGAAAGGTGTAGCGCAGTCCGGCAGTGTTCTCTGGAGAACTCTGCTCGGTCTACCTCCAGTGTCCAGGGTCCAGGAACCAAGAGAGATGGCACATCCAGATCTCGGGTCTTAAGCATTCCTGTCTTGGCCCCACCTTGTAGGGGTGACAGTTACCGAAGCCTCAGTAGGGGTAGTACTTCCAGGTCAAAGCTGGAGCAGCTACCTACTATAATAGGACGCACATTACACTAGCTCCATATTACCAGTGTATTTATTATTTTTGTCTTGTTTTCAGTACTTCTAATCTGGACCACCTTCTTGTCAGCTACTGCTTTTGTCTTCTTACGAGGCTGAATGGGCACTTGTTCCGGAAGAGACCCGCCAGGCTGACCTGTTGCTTGGCATTGCTGCTCTTCACATTGTTTTTAATGCGTCTTTATCCATGAGTTTCTTGGAAGAATTTTAAAAACATCTTCATTGATTATTCTGCTATGAGAAAATACTCAACGCTGAATTTGTTTTCAAGAAAAGAGGTTTCTTTAGCTCATGACCTTGGTGCTGGCTCTGATGAGGGAATCGTGGCAGTTGGCTTCATGCTAGGAGCCTGCAGAAGGGTGAGAAGAAGCCAGAGAATGCTCAGGGTGGGGCTGGTCTGGCATTTTAGAACACGTCTCTCCAGAGAGCTAGCAACGGTTCCCTGAGAATGACCCCAATCTCCTCTGGGAGTGATGTCTTAAGTGACCCGACAGTCTCCACTAGTCTCCACCTTTTAAAGTTTCTGTCACCTCTTTTTGGCATAGAAGAGACCAGGCTCCCAACTCTTAAAGTTGGGATACAGATGGCATCCAAACCTAGGCACAGGTGACTCTTTTTTTTGAGGATGTGTTTACTTACGGTGAGATAATGTAATTGATGCACCTAGTTAACCAGACAAGCTTGCCTGTGGTGTAAGTGAATGCCAAGGGAGGGGAGGAACACCAGTCTACTTTGCAGAGTTCCCCGTTTGCCTTTGGAAGACAAGAGGTGTGCAACAAGAGGTGAACAGCCATTTCACATGCCAGTCAGTGGAGGCAGAATTTCAACCACATTGAAACAAATAAACTAAGCTCTTTTTTGTTGTTGTTTTGGCTCTTAGATCACAACTACCTCAGACGGCCTAATATATTCTTTGGGCTCTGCAGCAAATATCCTGGCACTCCTTTCATGATTGGTGTCTCAAAACTGATGCACAGACTCAGATTTTTTTAGCAGCTGATGTGACAGCAGGTGGCACAGAGTGCTGGATCCTCACAGTTGAAACACCTACCGCCCGACGATAGGTGCACAGAAGATAGTTAAGGGTCATAGAATTCTGTCCAGGACATTAGAAGATAGAGAGGGATAAATAAGGGTCGTAGAATTCTGTCCAGGGCATTGGAAGATAGAGAAGGATAAATAAGGGTCGTAGAATTCTGTCCAGGGCATTGGAAGGCAGGTGCCTTGGGAGAAGAGGGAGAGGCTGGAAGAGCTGTCAACCTCAGATCTTAGGACAAGGCACTGTCACTCCAGGGAGGACGCCTGGGTCCAGCACGGACATGCATGTCTGAGGAGGAACCTGGGCAGCAGATACCATATGCAGAGCATGAATGGTTGGACTTAGGCTCTGTGGCCCAGCAGAGGGAAGCTGGTGGCTCAACCAGGGCAGACTGAGCACCAGGACTGCTTCACTGGCTTATTCAGCAGGAACTGTTTGCATCCAAGAGTATAGAAACAGCAGCCCCCAGAGTAGTGCCAGACACAAGAATCCTTCATTGAGAGGAGGGAAGGGTGGAGTAACTGCTGGTTTTGCCCTCGTAGTCTGAGGACCCAGCCCAGAGCAATTGCACAAAAGTTAATATTTGGATGAATCGGAGAGTTGAGAGCCTAGCTAGTTATGGTTAGCAAAGAGCCAAAGGACCTGGATCCACCTAGAAACCGAAGATGTTTTAGTGTGTCTGAACCTGCTGCCCTCTGCTGTCTCTCTTCCTCCAACAATGTCAACAGCACATGTAGCACAGGGACTTGGTGCCAGAGTTGCCCTTCACAGCTCACCAAGCATCTGATAAACCTGCCCTTCAGCCATAGAGCAGATTTGAGTTCATTGACTTCCTACTTGGATTTAAATTTAATGGAGCCGAGTTTCGTGTTAGTCTGCTGGGAGGTTGCGTAGGGTATTGAGGATGTTTCTGCTAAGTTATTTCTTGCTTGTAAGTTTTCTTT